CCTTCACTTATTATTTACCATTTTATAAAGTTCGATTCAATTGTCAATAAGCTGATGTTGTGCCAACCATTTCAACAAATTCTTGTTGTCAATACGCAAGAAATTGTTTTTTTAAAATTCAATTTCATATATTTAGGTTGTATTAAATTTGTATTTTTTTTCTTCTGTTTTATTAAAATACTTAACATTAAACATTGCAAATAAGTGGCGATAGTTAAAATATTACTGGTGTAAAGGCAAAGTCCATCCGTTTTTAAGTTACGGTTACATTACCAGATGTAACTGTATGTACGATGTTAAAAGTTTCTCTTTTGTGGCCTAATGTATTAGATGATTTTGAGAATTTTATTCCTGCTAATCCATTAGTAGGTACTTTACATATTAAACCTGAAAGGTATTTTTTTTAGTTTGCGTATGATATTGTAAGTTCAATTCTTAGTAAATTAGGTGGAATGGTAAGATTAGTGTTATGGGACCTTACCCATAATAACATAATGGACTATACCATACGTAATAAATACTGCGACTCAAGAGGAAGCAGAGAGTTCAGTCCGAAGTCGGGCGACCGGCTGATCGGTTGAACTCTCTGCCTTTGGGCGGGGAGGAACCCGAACGAGGCTACGCCGAAGGGCGGAGTCTCTTTCGGGAAGGTAAACCGACCCTGAACCCGGTTATACGGGTTCAAAGAGCATATTTTTGGCCGAGCCCATGGGCTCGGAGATCCCACGTTAAACCGGCCTTGTGCCATATGATGCCTTCGTGGCGGGGTGACTAAATACCGTTCAGTCTGAAGTCTGGAATGAGGTCCGTCAGGTGTCTGTCAGTCAGTCGAGTCAGAGGCAGTCCGAAACAGAGTCGTGTTCAGACAATTACTACTAAACCTGATTGTTCGTACTAACACTTCTACTTCTTTGTATATATTCCTGTTTGTAATATATCTGTGTTATTCCATACCTGTGTTCGAGTTCTTCTTTATTGGTTCTACCTTGGACTATCACCGTGGTACAAGGAACCGGACCATAACAATTAGTTATGTCAATTTCTACTTATTTTTTTATTTTTTTTTTTAACTTTTTTACATGTTAAGGGTTGTAATTGCCGTATTTATGTTTAATGCAGTTTAATTTTTGGTTGATAGTGGATTGTTTTGTTTTTATTAACTGGGATTGTTGGGTGTCCTGTGTAGTATCCTTACGAAGGAATTGCGTAGGTGTCGAGTTTTATGTGATTTAGTCTTTTTTTTTTTAAGACGACCTATTATAGATTATTTATGTTTGTTGATTTTAAATTATTAAGTCTACATTGGTTGATAGAAAAATTTGAAAATTTTCCGAAAGTGTTCGATTTACCAGTAGGCTTAAATCTTAAAGAAATTAATTCTATTTTTGATTTACAAGATCAATATTATTTACATTATTCAGACTATTGTCCTCATCTTTGTCGCCATATTTGTCACAACGTTTCGGCCGTTGTACGCTCCGGCCTTCTTCAGGTGGTTGCAATTTCGAACTGAACCATTTATTTCGCTCACTGGGGTCGACGGTTCTAGATCCACGTGCCATGTTTGATGGATGTCAGTTATCAGTTATCTCCTGCTAATTTCCCTCTGAAAGTTCTCCACTGCCTTAAACGGGTATTGAACTCACACTCTTTTGGGTCCTGTCACTGGATCTAACGACTCTTTGGGCCCTGTCACTGAATCTAACGCCTTTATCCACTGTGCCATGTGCCCTTGAGGCACAGTGGATAAAGTGGATTGAGGAAACGTTGTGACAAATATGGTGACAAAGATGAGGACAATAATTCGAATAATGTAAATAATGTACATAATATCTCATCTCAGAAATATAGACAGATAGTGAAAGGCTGAAACGTTGTGATAAATATGGCAGCAAAGATGAGGACAATTGTCCGAATAATGTAAAATAATGTACATAATACCTCATCTCAGAAATATAGACAGATAGTGAAAGGCCGAAACGTTGTAATAAATATGGCAGCAAAGATGAGGACAATAGTCCGAAAATGTAAATAATGTACATAATACCTCATCTCAGAAATATAGACAGATAGTGAAAGGCCGAAACGTTGTAATAAATATGGCAGCAAAGATGAGGACAATAGTCCGAAAATGTAAATAATGTACATAATACCTCATCTCAGAAATATAGACAGACTACAAGATCAATGTTTTGAAATAAATTATTAATAGAAGTATAAGTTATGGCTATAAATAGTGAGTTGTTATTTGGATTATATATTTATGTAATAGGTGTTGTTTTTCTTTTAATATTTCTTTGAAAACATATTTGGAATATATTTATTGAGTTTTGATATCTTAATATTGGGGGTTTATTTTTTTTATTTTTTATTAACTGTTGAAACTTGACTAATGCATGGAATAATAATGCAACACAAAAAGTACTTAGAACAAAATGTATTGAAACAAGAAAGTGTACACAATATTTACATATAGTCTTTTGTATATTCCTGGTAAGACCGTTCCTGGAGAATGTGTAGACTGAGTCGCAGTCGGGCAGAGTCTCTGGTTGAATCTCTCGATTCCTCCCTCTCTTCCCGGTACCAACCATATTTATATGGTCGGTACTCCACTATGCAAATCAGGTGGATCCTACCACAACATTAAGTTATGGTTAATATAATGATGAATGTTATATTGTGATAAATATTGTTGTATTTCATGTATGCGAGGCTTGATTAGGTTTATCATTGTTAGTAGGATTAATTCGTGTTCATGGTAATTATTACGTAAACTCTTTAAAATTGTATAAATTATAAGTTTGTTATTTAGGCTACTGGGTATGTTGAGTATGAAAGGTTTTATGATTTGGGAAATTCGTTATTGACTTTTAATAATTTTGAGATTTTTATATTTAAAGTTTTTTAAATTTAGAGGTTTGGGGAAGTATATCTATAGTTTGGATATATTGTGATAATATAAGGGGTATATTAATTACTCTAACATTATGGATTAGCGGTTTGATGTATTTAGCTAGCAATTATTCTATTAAATTTATAATAAATAAGATTAATGAATTTTCATTGGATATGTTAATACTGTGTTTAATAATTATTATATTTTTTATATATGTTTCATATATATATATATATTTTGAAATTTCATCGTTAACTACTTTAATATTAATTATTGGTTGGGGGTATCAACCAGAGTGGTTACGAGCAGGGATATATACAGAGTGTCCATAAAGTTCGGGTGCACTTTAAAAATGTATAACTTTATTTGTATTTGCGATAGAAATAATTTGTAAAAAGGATTAGAAAGAAGTAAATCTATATATTTTAAGGTTCTATTGAAAGTTTATTTAAGTTTCCACATGTTCTCCATCATTAGCAATACAATGGGTAGTACGATTTTGCACTTCACGGAAAACATTTGCCAACTGATTTACAGTAATGCCTGAAATCTCGTTAGTTATTTTAGCTATACTTAAAACTAGGTACGTTAAAACTTTATAACATTTTTACAGAGCATTTCTATTGCAAATACAAATAAAGTTATATTTTTTAAAGTGCACACGAACTTTATGGACAACCTGTATAAGACTGTATACTGTAAGAATGTCATTACCTTTATTAATTGGGTTAATTATATTAAGTAAAATATATTATTGTTATAATATATTGTTGCTTATGCATATAAATTGTTCAAGACTATTATATGATGTTAGTATTTTATGATTTTTGAGTATATTAACAGCATTTTTAGTTAAGTTGCCTATATTTATAATACATTTGTAAATACCAAAAGTCCATATTATTTCTTCCCAGTTAAATTAATTCTCCATAAAGTTTAAATGCAATGTCCATCGGTATCTTCTGTTTTCTTAATTCCTGTACTTTTATTGTTTATTTCGCCATTTAATAATATTTATTTTTCTCATATTCTTTAATATTCAATAACTCCTTGCATCTTAGTGGCTTTATTGCCTATCTTGGGGTGAAAGGATAAAAAAAAAACTTGCCATTTTTTATTCATTCTTTGCTTGTTTCAAAAGATAGATAGATAGATAGATAGATAGATAGATAGATAGATAGATAGATAGATAGTAATCTGGGAAGCATACTTAGGAGAATCTGTACCACGGTGTAACGAGAAGTAGTCTGTGAAGAACTTCTTCCTTACAAATGGAATACGGAATAAATGGGCAGGATTTGATTCAGTGAACATATTCTGGTGTATCCTAGCCGTAAAGGTTTGCACTTGTGAAATTAAAGAAGGTGGCTTACCTAAATATTTGCCATAAAAATAGACAGAGAAGTGAAAGACTACAACGTTTTGTCTGTGGAAAAGAGGTTGTAGGGGGGAAAATAATTCATCACCCATATGGCTGTTCTTTAACATTCAATAACTCCTTGCATCTTAGTGGCTTTATTGCCTATCTTGGGGTGAAAGGATAAAAAAAAAATTGCCATTTTTCATTCATTCTTTGCTTGTTTCAATAGATAGATAGATAGATAGATAGATAGATAGATAGATAGATAGATAAGAAGGGACATAGATAGATAGATAGATAGATAGATAGATAGATAGATAGATAGATAGATAGATAAGAATGGACAGAAATAGATAGATAGATAGATAGATAGATAGATAGATAGATAGATAGATAGATAAAGACAATGAGCTAGCTAGATAGATAGATAGATAGATAGATAGATAGATAAGAAGGTACTAGATAGATAGATAGATAGATAGATAGATAGATAGATAGATAGATAGATAGATAGATAAGAAGGGACATAGATAGATAGATAGATAGATAGATAGATAGATAGATAGATAAGAAGGGACAGAGATAGATAGATAGATAGATAGATAGATAGATAGATAGATAGATAGATAGATGGATATGAACATACTTAATAGATAAATGCGAACAGCCTACGATAGAGGAAAAGCAATAAACATTCGCCTACATTGTTCGATTTTGATAAATGTCTTGAACTGAGGAAGATCT